TCTACGGTGTCGAGAAAGTGCCACGCCTGCTATGCCCTGGACGCCCGGCGCGCATAGCGGCCGCGGTGAGGGACCACCCCCTGCGCACCCCGTCTGGCGTCGAGAAAGTGCCACGCCTGCTATGCCCTGGACGACCGTCGTGCATAGCGGCCGCGCTCAGGGACCACCTCCTGCGCAGCCCCTTATGGTGTCGAGAAAGTGCCACTCCTGCCACGCTTTACGGATCCGAAACGGATAGGGAAACCACGTTCTGCGCACCCCCTGAGATGTCGAGAATGTGCCCCGAGACTTCCCTTTGAATGCAGGGCTTGTTTGAGGCGCAAAACAAATGAAGTAGGTTTAGAGTAGCTCCTGAAGTAGGTCGGCGAAGTAGGTCTGCAGCGCGCCTGGCAACAGTGGTCGGCGCAGGTAACTCGAAGGGAAAGCATGGCGAAACCGATTGCCGCGAGAAGCTTTCAGGGGAAAGGAATGCGACATTCATGTGCAAAAGTAGCTTTCCAGGGAAGGTTGTCGGGAACACAATATCAAAAGTAACTTGTCGGGATCGGGTCAGTAATGATATTTTCCAAACAAGCTTCTCGGGGAAGTGCTGGAATGCCGCCGGCAAGGCGCGGCTTCTGCTAGCAAGCCAGCCGAGTAATTCGTGAAGTGCGCTGTCTTGGGTTCTTCTGGACTCCTTCGGGGCTTATCTTCAGGCTTCCAAAGTCTTCGGAAGCGCATGGGCCAAAAGGCCCAATTCATTCGTGTCTCGTACGATTTGGAAAGATTTCGGCTTCTCGGGGGTGTTATTGGGTGGCTCCGCGGCCGCTTGGGGCGGTCTCGGAGCGGTATTTGGGTTTCTTGGAGCATGCGGGAAACAATGTTGATCCATCTTGGGCTATCTTGAACCATCTGTGAGACCGCGTTGCATTCTGCGAGGTCATGCCGGCTCTATCTTTGACCGTCTCGGGCGCTCCAGCGACCCGCCGCCCCCCATTGCAGACCCCGGAAGGAGGGGGGGGGAGGGGTGCATCCATCTCCGAAGGGAAGACTGGGGGTTGTTGGAACAGGAAGCGCTCTAAACCACCTCCGTCCTGAGATCTGGGGGCATTGCGTTTTCCCCTTGGTCTGACCACAGCGGGAAGTGGGGCATGGAGGGCGGGGCGAGGGCCGCGGGCCCGAGCAAGGGAGAGGGGGGGGGCGAGAGGGAGGACCAGGAAGGTTAAGAAGGTCAGAAACGGGAGGGTGGGGGGCTCCAGAAGGCGGGTAGGGGGGAGGTGGCGTTTCCGGGGGGAGGAGGTGGAGGGAGGCTGGAATAATGAGGACGCGTGAAAGAGGAGAGGAGGTGGAGAGAGGTGGGAGGAGGAAAGAGAAACGGAAGGGGAGTGGCGCCTCCGTCGGGCCGGGCCCGGAGGGGCCCCGGGTGGCGGGGGGCGGCCGCATCAGGTTTGGTTTCTGAAGAACCTAGGGCGCCAGGCGGCGGCCCCCTGCCCGCCAGCGGGGGGGCTGCCAAAAGGCCCTGTCCTGTCGCGGTACGTTCGCTTGTCGCCCGACAGCGAAATCGCGCTCGATCCTCGACCCTCGGGGGGGGGGGGAGACCGCCCCCTTTGGGGGGCTCCCGCCTGTCGGGGGCAACCTACAAGTGTTTTGGGTTTGCTCACCTTCTGGGGGCACTTCGCAGATTCCTTTTTTGGCGCGCCGCCCCCGGGGGCGACTTCTGGGAAAGGCTCGGGCAAGCGTGTGCTGATGTTTCAAGGAACCGCGCCCCCAAAGTAGGTCGGAAAGTAGGTTTGCAGAATTTGTTTTTGCAAAGTAGGTTCCAAAGAAGGTTTCCGGATTCCAAAAGTAGGTTTTCGGTAGCGCAAAGTAGGTTTCGGAGGCTTCAAAATAGGTTTTAGGAGCCTCAAAGTAGGTTTCGGAGGCCTCAAAGTAGGTTTCAAACCTACTTCAAACCTAAACCTACTTCAAACCTACTTCAAACCTACTTCAAACCTACTTCAAACCTATTTCAAACCTACTTCAAACTGTTTTCGGAAGCATGGAAGGTCAGGGATTGAAGGTAGGAGGAGGAGGAGGTGGAGGAGAATGTGGGGGAGGAGGAGGAGGAGGAAGAGGAATGGGAGAGGAGGAGGAGGAGGAGGTGGATGAGGAGAGCCGGGAGGAGGATGTGGAGGAGGAAGAAGAGGAGGAGGAGGAGGAGAGCCAGGTCGAGGAAACGGAGGGCCAGGAGGAAGGAGGAACAGGAGAGAGGAGTAGGAGGAGGAGGACCGGAGGATCGGGCGGAGGATGAGGGGCGGATGAAGGGGGGATGAGGGAGAAAAGGTAGGAACAAGATGGGGAATATGAGGAGGAGGAGGAGGGAGGAGGAGGAGGAGGAGGAGGAGGAGGGGGGGGCGGGGAGGGCGGGGAGGATCGGGGGCAGGAGGATGAGAACATGGATGCTGCGGCTGACGAGGGGGAGGATGGTGAGGCAAGGGGGGCGATGATGGGAAGCATGATGTGATTGATGACGAGTGGCTTTGGGGAGGGCAGAATGACCTTGGGCGGGGCGGCCGTGATAATGAGGAGGAGCCATGGCGTGTCCGAACCCCGCCGGGACACGGCATGGGGGTTTTGCTGGGGTGGTGATTGTTGGTGGCGGCCCGGCTTGTCCAGGATTCCTTGAATTGCGTTGTTCGCCGTGCCAGTTGCTGGGGCTGCCCCAGTTGATTTTTGGGTCACCCATCGTCGTGACTGCTTTTCTGGCGGGTCGTGTTTGCGGAGGTCTTCTCCGCAGCCGCTCTCGTTAATTTTCTATGTTTAGTGCCCGAGGGTGCATCGCGCGAAAAGTGTCGCGGCCCCTGCCTGAAATGCAGCCCTGACGCCCTTTCCATTGCAAACCTTCTTGGCGAGGTTACCGCGGCCAGGGAGCGTCCCCGGGTGCACTCGCCAGGGCTAGTTTGGCGAATTCGCTTCGCCAACTTAGCTGCCCGCGGCATTTGCGCCGACGCGCTTTGGCAAACCCAGTAACGGGAGGCTATCTGCCCGATGACGCGTTTTCCCCGCGCGTTGCACCTTCTTCCTGGCACCTACTATGCTTGCGAACCTATCTCCCGAACCTGCTTTTGAACCTATCTAAAACATATATCGAAATGTTTTCTGTTCGCCATTGCCCTGCATTGCTGGGGAAGTCTCGGAATGTGCCAAGCCTGCCACGCTTTGCGAGCCCGAAACGGATAGGGAGACCACCCCCAGCGCACCCCCTGTGGTGTCGAGGAAATGCAACGCCTGCCACGCCATTGCAAGACCGAAACGGGTAGGGGGACCACCCCCAGCGCAGCCCCTGTGGGGTCGAGGAAGTGCCGCGCCGCCTGCCACGCTTTGCGAGCCCGAAACGGATAGGGAGACCACCCCCGGCGCACCCCCAGTGGTGTCGAGGAAGTGCCACGCCTGCCACGCTTTGCGAGCCCGAAGCGGATAGGGAAACCACCCCCGGCGCAGCCCTTGTGGTGTCGAGGAAGTGGCACGCCTGCCACGCTTTGCGAGCCCGAAACGGATAGGGCAACCGCCCCCAGCGCACCCCCTATGGTGTCGATGAAGTGCCACGCCTGCCACGCTTTGTGAACCCGAAGCGGATAGGGAGACCACCCCCAGCGCACCCCCTGCGTTGTCGAGGAAGTGCCACGCCTGCCACGCTTTGCAAGACCGAAGCGGATAGGGAGACCACCCCCAGCGCACCCCTTGTGGTGTCGAGGAAGTGGCACGCCTGCCACGCTTTGCGAGACCGAAATGGATAGGGAAACCACTCCCGGCGCACCCTTTGTTGTTGCCAGGAAGTTCCACGGCTGCCGCGCTTGGCGAGCCCGAAACGGATAGGGAGACCACCCCCAGCGCACCCCGCTGTGGTGTCGAGGAAGTGCCAAGCCTGCAACGCTTTGCGAGCCCGAAGCGGATAAGGCAACCCCCCCCAGCGCACCCCGTATGGTGTCGTGGAAGTGGCACGCCTGCCACGCTTTGCGAACCTGAAGCGGATAGGGAGATGCCCCCCAGCGCACCCCCTGTGGTGTCGAGGAAGTGCCACGCTTACCACGTTTTGCGAGCCTGAAACGGATAGGGAGACCACCCCCGGCGCACCCCCTTGTGGTGTCGAGGAAGCGCCACGCCTGCCACACTTTGCAAGACCGAAGCGGCGCAGCCCCTGTGGTGTCGAGGGAGTGCCACGCCTGCCACGCTTTGCGAGCCCGGAATGGATAGGGAGACCACCCGCGGCGCACCCCCTGTGGTGGCGACGACGTGCCACGCCTGCCGCGCTTTGCGAGCCCGAAACGGATAGGGAGACCACCCCCAGGCAGCCCCTTGTGGTGTCGAGGAAGTGCCACGCCTGCCACGCTTTGTGAGACCGAATCGGATAGGGAGACCACCCCCAGCGCACCCCCTGTGGTATCGAGGAAGTGCCACGCCTGCCACGCTTTGCGAACCCGAAACGGATAGGGAGACCACCCCCAGCGCACCCCCTGTAGTGTCGAGGAAATGCCGCGCCTGCCATGCTTTGCGAGCCCGAAGCGGATAGGGAAACCACCCCCAGTGCACTTCCCTGTGGTGCCGAGGAAGTGCCACGCCTACCACGCTTTGCGAGCCCGAAGCGGATAGGGAGACCACCCCCAGCGCACCCTTTGTGGCGTCGAGGAAGTGCCACGCCTGCCACGCTTTGTGAGCTCGAAACGGATAGGGAGACCACCCCCAACCACACCCTTGTGATGTCGATGAAGTGCCAAGCCTGCCACGCTTGGCGAACCCGAAACGAACAGGAAGACAACCCCCAGCGCACCCCTTGTGGCGTCGAGGAAGTGCCACGCATGCCACGCTTTGTGAGCCCGAAGCGGACGGGGAGACCACCCCCAGCGCACCCCCTTGTGGTGTGGAGGAAGTGCCACGCCTGCCACGCTTGGCGAAACCGAAACGAGCAGGAAAACCACCCCCAGCGCACCCCTTTGTGGCGTCGAGGAAGTGCCACGCCTGCCACGCTTTGTGAGCCCGAAACGGACGGAGAGACCACCCCCAACGCACCCCCTGTGGTGTCGAGGAAGTGCCACGCCTACCACGCCTTGCGAGCCCGCGCTTTGCGAGCCCGAAACGGACGGGGAGACCACCCCCAGCGCACCCCCTTGTGTTGCCGAGGGACTGCCACGCCCGCTACGCTTTGCGAACCCGAAGCGGATAGGGAGACCACCCCCAGCGCACCCCCTGTGGTGTTGAGGAAGTGCCACGCTTACCACGCTTTGCGAGCCCGAAACGGATAGGGAAACCACCCCCAGCGCACCCCTTGTGGCGTCCAGGAAGTGCCACGCTTGCCACGCTTTGCGAGCCCGAAACGGATAGGGAAACCACCCCCAGCGCACCCCCTGTGGTGTCGAGGAAGTGCCACGCTTACCACGTTTTGCGAGCCCGCAACGGATAGGGAAACCACCCCCAGCGCACCCCCTTGTGGTATCGAGGACGTTCCACGCCTGCCGCGCTTGGCGAGCCTGAAACGGATAGGGAAACCCCCCCCAGCGCACACCACGCCTTGCGAGCCCGAAACGGATAGGGAAACCACCCCGTGCGCACCCCGTGTGGTGTCGAGGAAGTGCAACGCCTCTTGTTGTCGCGCATGTGTTGCGCCCCCCCCTCTGGTGACGACAAAGTGCCACGCCTGCCGTGCCCCGCGCCATGGCCTGCATAGAGCCTCCTGCCGTCCACTGCGTATCCTACACGCACGTCTTGCATATGGCATGTCATGTGTATGTGTATGATGCGTGTGCGGCCGTATCGGAACGTGTGTCTCACGTGGGTGCCCAGTATGTTGTGCATACGTGTTGGGTATATGATGCAGTGAACATGCGTCTTGTGTGTGCGAGTGTGTGCATGCGTGCGGCTGTATGTAGACGCGTGTCCCATGTACTGGCCGTGCATGTGTTGAGCGCGGGTAAGGGGAGGAAGGAAGAGAGAGGAGGGGAGGTGTGAGGAGGAAACGCGGGTGCGCCGCGGCAGGGACGAAAACCAGAACCCCACGGAACATGTGGGGAAACATTGCCTTCGGACGGGTCCTCGAAGGCGACATTATGGAAACACCGATCGGTTCTCACCAGTTTTGTTCAAAACAGAGCATTTCGCTTGAGACGTCCTCCAACGAGTTTTGAACTCGCGCGGAACGCGAACTCCACCTGATATCTTTGGGGGGCGTTCGGGGTAAGAGCGACGTCTAAACTCGCGCGGGTAGTGAACTTTACCTGGTATCTTTTGTGGACGTTCGCGGTGATCGGTGACTGAAGTTGCGCGGATTGTGAATTCCATTTGGTATCTTTTGTGGACGTTCGGAATGAGCGGCACGTCGGAATTTGCGCGGATCGTGAACTCAATCTGATTCTTTTTGCGGACGTTCGAGGTCAGCGGCACGTCTGAATTGGCGCGGATAGCGAAGTCCTCCTGGTACCCCCTGTGGACGTTCGGGAAGAGCGCCTACGCGACATGCGAACTTGATGTTGGTGCACGTTCTCGCCAAGCTCTTTGATTTCACGCTCTTCCCGTTCATGTCAAGAAAGGTTTCTTTTCCGTGCCGATGCAGCCCGATCCTACAAAAAACATTCCCTGGCCATTTATGGCCAAGCCATTTTGGGCTCAAGGGCTTCCCAGCGTGCGCGAGAACTTACCACGCGCATTGTGCCAGAATGCAGGCGCTACAGAACCCAGAGCGGCCATGTCTGCTCGGCAAGGTCATCCAGCAGACCAAAGCCGCCAGCAATGGCAACCACTCTGGGTACTGTGGGCTCGACGACGACTCCGACGTCACCGGTGCGACCACCGTCTGCGCGAGCACCTCGGATCTGACGCACGCCGCGCGCGGCATGAGCACGGACGCGAGGCGGCAAGAGGGCGCCGAGGCTGAGCTCCTGCGGCGCACGCTGCGCCGCCAGGCCCTCGCGAGACGCTGGCGGGCCTACCAGGAGCTGTCCGAGGCCCACCCCGCCCTGCTCTGCGCCGACGCCAAGTGCAAGCACTCTGGGCACGGGGGGCTCGACGACGGCTCCGACGTCACCGGTGCGACCACCGAGCTCCTGCGGCGGACGCGGCGCAAGGCCCTCGCGAGGCTCTGGCTGGCCTACCAGGAGTTGGCCGAGGCCCAGACCCTGTTCTTCGCCTGCCGCATGGACGACGACGGCGACGACGACGACTCCGAGTTTGACCTCGCCGCCGCGGCCTCGGCCTTGCGGTGCGCTGAGCAGCCTGCTGCCGGCGCGGCGCGGCGCGGCCCCGCAGCCACGGTGGTGTCGCTGTGAGGTGCGGGCGCCCGCGGGGCGGCGCGCGCGCGCGGCGGGAGCTCTTGGGGAGGGGGCGGCGAGGGGGGGGAGGGCAGAAGCGGCGGCGGCCCCAAGGCCGCGACGGGCCCCCCCCCTGGGATCCGATCGGCACGACGGCAGCACCCCATCCCGTTCCAGTCGTTCTCGTGCTCCTGCTGCTGGTGCGGCTACGGGTCGCGCACGGGCAGCCAGCTGGCTGGCCTCGACATTCCCCCCGAGCAGTCCAGGGCGGTTTCGGCACCCTGGCGACGTCTCTGGCGGCGGCGCCCCTGGGGCGCGAAACGCCCCAGCGCTGGGGTGTTGAGACCGCCCCGGGCAAAAGGACGTGACCGATTGACAAGATACCCCTTCCCGTCCGGGGGGGGTCGCCTGCCTATTGTGCAGGGCAGATGAGTAGTATCGGTGCTGGAGGGGGTTGGCCGTCGTCATCCCGTCGGTTGTCGTCTTCCCGTTGTCGTCGTCCCGTCCTCGTCGTCGTCGTCGCCGTCGTCGGCATCGTCGTCGTCGTCGTCGTCGTCGTCGTCGTTTTTCCCCAGGACCGCAAGACGCCTATGCGGCTCCCGCCCCCTTCCCTCCGCTCCTGCCATTCGCAAGGGGCCGTCGCCGTCGCCGTCGTCGTCTTCCCAGGGGAATGCAAGACGCCTGCGCGCCTACGCAGCACCCCCTGTCCTGCATGCCATCTGCAGAAGGCCGTCGTCGTCGTCGTGGTCGCCGTGGTCGTCGTCGTCGTAGTCGTCGTGGTCGCCGTCGTCGTCCTCGTCGTCATCGTCGTCGTCGTCATCGTCGTCGTCGCCGTCGTCGTTGCCTCGTCCGTCGGGACTGCAGGAGGCCCACGCAGCCCTCCCCCCCCGCCACGTGCCATCCGCAAAGGGCCGTTCTCGTCGTCGTCGTCGTCTGTCGCCGTACCAGTCTCTTCCGCAGTGAAGAGCTGCCCAGCTACCTGTTTTGCTTCTGTTGACCCTGTACAGTCATCGACTGTGCGTGCCACAAGAAGTCGGCGTTGATGGTGCCGCTCTCATACGTCTCCTTGATCTCCTCAGCGTCCATGTCATCCTGCCCTCCTGAACCTTTTTGGCACTCGACTCCTTCTCGGGCACGGCGTCCAGTTTGAAGTGTCAACGCGATTATTTGAATGCGAGGCTTGTTCGAAGGCTTTGGAGTGCCCAGCTGCAGAAATGGACCGCTGCGCTCCGCGGTCAGTGTTCTCTCACGGCTGCGTTGTCCCTGAGATGGGGCGCAGGGTGCAGCTGCGTGCAGCTGCCAGCGCGAGCCAGGAGCAAACCGGAACACTCGGAATCCGCAGCAACCTCGCCGATGAGCTGGGAGTGTGCAAGGTGGGGGGCAGGAGGAGCGGATGCCTCCGTGTTCCGGTTCGGGGGTCCCGATCTGCCCCTCGACCCGGGGCGCGGCACCAGAGCCTTCTTGCCCTCTCTCTGGGCGCCCGCCCAGCGCGCCCGGCCAGCAGTCCCGCCGCAGGGTGCCTGCCGGTTCCCGAGCACCTGCACCGCGGGCACGCCTCCACGATGGGCTGGACGGCCCCTCTCCTCCTGCACCCTGCACGTGGGAACCGGCCTTATGCCAGTGCCTCGACTAATGTCGAGCCCGAGTCCAAGCTGATGCTTTAATTCCTCTCGCTTCGCGGGGTGCACGTCTGGAGTGCGTTAAGACTGGGCGTGCCGTGCTCGTCTGCCGCGTCGTTCTGCCCGGCACTGGCCGCGGAAAGCGCCGCGGGGGGGGGATACGCTTCCCCAGGTTAGTGCTGGGACGAGCGTGCGAGTGTCCACGAGGGCGAACAGCATTCACTGAGTGTTAGTGCACAGCGCCAAGTGAAAACTCCAGTGAGCATAGCAACTACGTTCCATTTGTATACAATTTTCCGCTGGCCTCTAGGCGTTTTTTGGGGACCGTGTGGGGGCTTCTTGGGGCTTCTTGGAGGTTTCCAGGGGGGCCTCTTTGGGGCTTCTTGGAGGCCTCTTTGGGGCTCTTGGGGCCTCTTGGAGGCCTCTTGGGCCATCTTGGGGCGCTATTGCGCCGTCTGGCCCCTTCGGAGGTCGCCTAGGGGTCCTCTTGGGGCCGCCTTGGGCCTCCTAATGCATCCATATTGGGAGTCGAAGGGAGAAACAGAGGAAGCGGAGAAAGCCGAGGAGGAGGAGGAGGAGGAGGAGGAGGAGGAGGAGGAGGAGGAGGAGGAGGAGGAGGAGGAGATGCCGGAGCTGGAGGAGCCTGACGAGCAGGCGGGGGGGGAGAGGAGGACGAGGAGGAGGAGGATGAGGAGGAGGAAGATGAGGAGGGTCGAACAGGAAGAAGGAGACATGAGGAGGTTCCATAACCAGCAACAGAGGGGCCCCCTCTTTGCAGGGTTTTCGCAGGGTCTTCGCAGGGTGGGGGACCCTGGGGGTGTTGGAGGCCTCTTGGGGCGATCTTGGCTTCCATAGGAGAGGGGGGCCTTCAAACGCTGAAGTCCTTCAACAGCTTGAGGAAGTTCAGTGTGTTTTGCCTCCAGGGGTCGTCTTGGGGGTCCTCCTGGGGCCATCTTGGGCTGTCTTTGGAGCCTCCCTGGGCCATCTTGGGGCCGTCTAGGGGCCAGGGGGCCCCGCGACGGCCCAGGAAGGCCCAAGACGACCCAGCAACTACTCCAAGAGGGCCCACGACGCATCCACGAGGGCCCACACAGGTGACCCCGCTGCTGCCGACCCCGCCAGCCAACCCCCAGCAGGCCGCCCAGAGGCCCCTAGGCACCCTGAGGCAGCCCAACATTGCCTCGAGATGGATCCAGGAGCCCGCGACACTCCAGGAATGCCCCGAGATGATACCCAAGGGGGCGCCCTGAGTGACAAACACATGTTCTTTTGGTTTTACCAATCTCATGACCGCTCAAGGTGCCCCCGGAAGCCTCCAAGACCGCCCCGAGTCGGCCCAGGAGAGCGCCCAAGAGGGCCCAAGACGCCTCCGAAAGAGCCCGTAGAACGGCCCAACATTCGCCGGCACCGCCAAACAACCCCCAATGGGCATCCTAGAGCCCCCCCGCGCCCTTCGTGCTTATTGCTAGAAGATGGCTCACGGAGCCCCCGTGACGCTTCGACAAGGTCCCGAGGAGACCCCTGAGATGGTGCCGAGGCGCAAGCCATATTGTTTTGTGGTATTGTCCCCAACCGTCAAGAGACATCATCCCGCGTTCCTCTCCACTTCTCTCCTCTCTCTCCTCTCCTCCCCCCCATCCTCCCTCCTCCCATCACCCGCTCACTTTGGTACACCCCTCACACGTTTCGTGGCCCCACAGGAAGCTCCACCGAAGGTCTCAGTTGCGCAGCCCGCATGCGTCTCCCCCACCCAGTACAGCGCTTCGTGGCCCCACAGGAAGCTCCACCGAAGGTTGCACCCCACCCAGTACAGCTTTTCGTGGCCCCATAGGGAGCTCCACCGAAGGTTCCAGTGGGACCGTCCGCATGCGTCTCCCCCTCCCGGTACAGCGTTTCGTGGCCCCATAGGGAGCTCCACCGAAGGTTCCAGTGAAGCAGCCCGCATGCGTCTCCCCCACCCAGTACAGCGCTTCGCGGCCCCAATGGGGGCTCCACCGAAGGTTCCAGTGAAGCAGCCCGCATGCGTCTCCCCCACCCAGTACAGCGTCTCGCGGCCCCAATGGGGGTTCCACCGAAGGTTCCAGTGATTCAGCCCGCATGCGTCCCCCCCACCCAGTACAGCGTCTCGTGGCCCCAATGAGGGCTCCACCGAAGGTTCCAGTGAAGCAGCCCGCATGCGTCTCCCCCACCCAGTACAGCGTCTCGTGGCCCCATAGGAAGCTCCACCAAAGGTGTCAGTGACGCAGCCCGCATGCCTCGCCCCAACCCAGTCCAGCGTTTCGTGGCCCCCATATCACCACCCACCAAACCACCCCAACCCAACCCGAAGGCTCAGATTTACCCTCGATTTCCAGTGGGGGGGGGTCGGGAAACATAGGAAAAACACCTGTGGAACCCTTACCCCCCCCAACCCGAGATTCGGGTCTTCGGGTTGGGTTGGGGTGGCCTGGTAGGTAGTCACCATAGAGAGCTCGACCGAAGGTCTCAGTTGCGCAGCCCGCATGCGTCTCCCCCACCCAGTACAGCGTTTCGTGGCCCCATAGGGAGCTCCAGCGAAGGTTCCGGTGTCGCAGCCCGCATGCGTCTCCCCCACCCGGTACAGCGTTTCGAGGCCCAATAGGAAGCTTCACCGAGGGTGCGTCTCCCCCGCCAAGTATAGCGTTTCGTGGCTCTGCGAGTGGGGGCTGCACCGAAGACGATACTTACATTTGCGGTGTTCGCAATTGCATATGGTTGGGTCCTTCGCTAGGTTTTTTTGAATATCTTTGACCTTTCAGATTCTCCAGAAGGGCCCCCCGGAACTTCGGAACGAGAGTGTTCGGAACTTCGGACTCTCCACAGGGGCTGCCGAGAGTCTTCGGAACTTCGGAACGAATCAGAATACACACGCAAACACGCACGCACGCACGCACGAACGTACGCACACACACACACACACGCGCGCACGCACACACACACACCCACACACCCACACACACCCACATACACACACACCCACACACACACCCACACACACCCACACACACACACCCACACCCACACCCACACCCACACACACACACACCCACACACACCCACACACACACACCCGCACACACACCCACACACACCCACACACACCCGCACACACACACACGCACCCCCACACCCCCCCCCACACACACACCCGCACACACCCACACACACCCCCACCCACACCCACACACCCACACACACCCACACCCACACACCCACCCACACACACACCACCCACACACACCCACACACACACCACACCCACACACCCACACACACAAACACACACGCACCCCCCCCCCCCACACCCACACACACACACACACACCACATACGCACCCACACACACCCACCCACCCACACACCAGCCACACACCCACCCAC